ACATCCCGTCCCAGGTGGTGTATTTCCTGTTCCACCAGCAGCTGTAGTTCTCATGAAGCTCCTGCCACCTCCTATTTGTTTTCAGGTTTGTTTTAATGCATTCTCAAAATTTCAGAAAGCTGTGGAACAGCCACAGTATGTATCACTCTACTGAAAATAACCTAAACTTTTTTTTTGGTTTTTGTTTTTTTTTTTTTTGTAACAAATCAGGGTCCCTTTGTTCAAGTGGATGAACTCATGGAGATATTTAGAAGATGCAAACTGCCAGACAGTAAGTGACTTGTCCTCTCTGGAAGCTGTGACAGTGCTGCATAAGACATGGTTTTACATATGGATATTGCTGTCTGAAATCCAGACCTCATTTACAGATGTGCAATTTGTGTTTAAGAGCAAAAGATATTGGCTGTGTTTCTAGGCTGGAATCTACATAGAGACGTTTGTACATTTACCTGGGGGGAGATAACAAAAAGCCAAAAAGCTGAAAATCACCAGCTGCTCCTTTAATAAGATGTTGGTGAGATAACCATTGAAGGAAAGAAATTCAGACTTTCAGAATATCCTGTAAAAGCAGCAGGGCATTACTTCCAGCAGCATCGTGGCTGTAACATGGGATTACAGATTTGCAGCAGTTCACTGGTGGTCATAACTCTGAATGCACGTCCTTGAGGACAAGCTAAGGGAGATCACAGAGAAAGCAAGCTAGGATTGAATTTGAGTTAAAGTATCTATTTAAATCATATGCAGTATTTTTGGGGCTTCCTCTGTTGATAAGCAGAAACTGCTCTGCCTACTTTCTGGTGAATCATGAACTAGTTATACTGCTCCCCAGCAGGCCTCCCTGGTTTATTTAAGCTCACAGGTGACCTCAATGCCTGTGCAGAGGGAGGGCTCCAGCTGAAGCAGCAGCATCTACTTTGTAATTAGTGTTCACCATTGCTCAGAGTTTCAGACAGTCAAGGCTTAATATTTGTAGAACAGGGCAGGAAAAATGTTTTATGTTCCGGAAATCTCCACAACGTCTCTCTCTTGGTGCCCCTGTTGGCATGCTGATTTCTGATCAGGGAATTTAGTTTCACAACTCAAATGAATCTGTGCCTCTTTCTAAAGCTGTCGATGAAGCTGTACGGATCATCACCGGCGGCCTGCCAGAAATAGCTGTGGAGGGCAATGGACCTGTGGAAAACAGCACCATCCTCAACAAGGCTGTGAAGAGATCACATGAGGATTCTGATGACGACGAGGAGAAAGGATCCGTAGTTCCCCCTGTACATGACATTTACAGAGCACGACAGCAAAAGAGAATCCGGTGAAACAAGTCTGGGGTTCTGCTGTGACAGACAAAGACTTGCATTGAATCAGTCTCTTAAAAGTCAAGCATTTAAAAGGGACAGCTGCAAACGAAAAAAAAAAAAAATCCTTGAAAATGGTTTTGTTACTGTGGTGCCTCTTCTTCCATATGGTTCTTGATCTGAAAACAGCCTGAACAACCTTAGAATGTGCTCTGAACAAAACTAGGTTTTCAGAACCTGAAGTGAAAAATGTCAAAACTGTATTTTGTTCTTCGAGGGTGTTCACATCTACCACTTGAAATCTTGTGGTTTTTTTAACAGTTTTATTTTAAAAACTGGATGGCTTATACTTGTGAAGCATTTTTAATTCACATTTTCTGGAAAACAGTTGTTCTCAGTTTGTTCATGTAGTGTACTGCCTTATTGTCCGTTTTTATTTATGGCAGAATGTAAGAAATCTGTTTTGTAGTTGAAAATCGAATAAAAACCAAAAAAACCATTCCTTTAAAATAAAAGGATGTCCATAACTTCATGCCTCATTCTGGTTTTATTCAAACACAACAAGGTACTTCTTAAATATTACTCAGCCACTTCAAAAGCAATGCTAATAAGACCGTCACAGGAAACTGGTCAGAGCATACATATTAGAATTAGCTTGTTCTCCACTTTTCTAGAGGATACAGTACACTTTTGCTTGTAATTCCACGACTGTTTGAAGAAGACAGCATCTTAAGACTAACTCAGTATATGTTTCAAAGGTGGGTTGTCCAGGACCACTGGCTAACACAGGCTGGTCCTGGATACCTGCACCAGTCTTCCACTGTAAGGTACAAAGCTAAATGTTAATAATCAGCTACATCGTTTCACTTGTTATCTTCAAACAAGCTAAAAAAAAAAAACACTGTATGAGCTTTCAAAGCAGTTTCTATGTGTACTTGAGCTTTTAACTTGTAATTGGCTATTCAGAATGGCACTCTGATAGGATCTTAAGAACACCCTTGGACTACAGGACATTCAGATACTCGAGAAAGTTCAAGACGTTCCCATCTCCAGCAGCACAGCTGCCTGTGGGTCAGTGCTTCTCTCTGCCAGGGGGAGAGGTGAACCCCGGAAAGGTTCAGGTGGAGGGAGGAACTGGCCTTAGCAATCCTGGAATTCCTTTCTTGCTCTGCTCCTCAGTTGTATCTCCCTATTTCTTTCTGTGAGGATGTAGAGACACTGTTTGTCAGATGCTCTGATTAAAAAAAAAAACAACTTGGGAAAATCATTAAGGTGATTTGCACTTGTGGGCATTTATTACAGTCCCTTCAGATCTTTACTGTTGGAAGGCTTGCAGCACCCACTCCCAGAGGCATTTGTTCCCACTGTGTGTGCCCCCAGAAGTGAGACTGGAGCCAGAGGAGAGTACTGCACTCTTCTATGGGTCTATGTTTTTTTCCTATATTAAGCCTTAGGATCAAACCCCTCCTGTGAGGAGAGATGGGATTTACTGTATCAACCCTGTGAGCAACACACGAGCACTGTTGGCAGCACAATCGCTGCTGCAATGTCAGGACACCTGGACCCTGAATCCCAGCCCTGGGAGCAGTCATTGCTAATTCAGTCCCCTTCACTCTGCAGTCAGTTATGTTGTTCAAGGGCTTTTCTGAGTGTCTCACTGTCCTGTTGTTCCTCCCCACATCCTCGAGATCGTCCCCTACAGCATCTAACTTTGTGTAGTGTGTAAGTCCCAGGGGTTTTAAAGGCAGCTCCTAGGCAATGCTAAAAGATAAAATAACGGCAGCAAAACTGAAAACAGCTTTGTCTTGTTACTTTGGTTACATCTCCAGCCATAATGGCTCTGGCAGCTCGTTGTTACTCTGTCGAATTAACTTCTGTGGCTGCACTGAGAGGTGGGTCCTGCAGTAACAACAAAGCCCACTAAGCAGACACAGCAACCTTGAAGACCTCTCTAGTATCCTTTGCTGATGCAAACAATGACACAGTCTACACCAAAAGCCTACTCAGAACCCTTTTTGTCTGGCTAACCAACCTACTCATTTCTGAACTGCCAAAGATTCAAAGACATTCATTTCACTATCTGAGTTTATTTAGCCAAGAGAGAAAAATCTGTCTGAAGTGGTAAACTCTTACAGGGTTTGGTGGTTTGCTTTTTTTTCCCTTGGGGAAAGCGGTTTGTAATCAATGAGAAAAATTTGTTTTAGAGTTGCATAGGCTAATATAGAAAAAAGGTCTTATTTATCTCGTCTTCCTCCAAAATCAAAGTCAGTGCACCTCTATCCACACTGAGATTTAAAGGAAAACCAGAAAGGGAAGCATCAACACTTATTTAACATCAAGTGCTTCTAGAAGTTCTCATACTTTGGTTGGCTAGTTGATTCATAAATTAACCTGGTTGTTGGCAATAAAAGGGCCCTTTTATTTATTTTACATACCTTGTTGGTTGTTTTTTTTTTTTTTTCAAAGACATTCTGGCTTGGATAGCTTAGTACTTGGACCACTTACTGTTTATAGCTATGAACTTTGCTTTTCTAAAACCATCAAATATTGATTACTGTAATACACTGTTGTGCTCAACTAGAGGGAAATTTCAGATGCACTTACCTCCCAGCTGAGTCTGAAGCTGCAACGAGGCTGTAAGATCACTGAGCTCTTCTGAGAACACTCATCTACACAACACATAGCTAATGAAATTCAAGGCCTATAAATATTCTAAGTTCCAAGAACACCTCTACAAAGTGAAAAAAAATCTACTGAAAATATTCCCTGTGTATTCAAACTAAGTCATTCACCTCTCACACTGCATTAAAATCACTTATACTGCCCATAGTGCTCTGCACTTCCTGGCTATTTTTGAAGACATGATTGAATATGCAACCGTCTCCTGTTGTAGTTTTTTTTTTAAAAAAAAAAACCATGTAAACTTTCCAGCCTGAAGTTTCACACACTTTAAATCCACCTTCTGAAAGTGACACAGATTTACTTTAAAATTAGTATCTCACATAAAAAGGAGGAAACTACTAGCAAAACAAGGTAAGAAATACCACTTTTATCAAAACATTTTAGCTCTGCCCTTCTTAAGTCTTTACAAGAGATAAATACAGCTGCAATCTATAAGATTGCCACCTTTGTAAGTACTGTACATAGCAGAGGACAGTTACCCAATAACCAGAAAATTTACTACAAAAATATATTATGTTTTGTAACATCTGCAGGTAAACAGCAAAAAAACGCTATTAAAAATGCAGTAAAATGCAGAAAAAACTAGTAGCCTACCATAGTGACCATAATGTTACAATAAAGTGCTGTTTGGGTTGGTTTTGTGTCTGTTGAAGTTCCTCTTATCTAGAATTTTAGCTTTCTTAATTCTTTAAAGTAAGATTTTTTTAAAACCATATCACCTCTTCTGGGAAGAACCATTGCTAAACTGCTCTGGATTAATTAAACTAAATTCACTGTAAATTAAGAGTTAAATGCCCTAAAATGAGCCAGTTAAATACGAAGTTTTGTTCTTAAACTTGCCCTACCTAGAATCAGCTCCAAAATGTAAAAATTACAGCCAGAAAACTGCCATGATATTCCCCCCTAGGTTGCATCCTTACATTAAAAATGCATCTCTCATCATTTACTTCAGAACCCCTTTTGCACCTCGTGTATTTCCTTCATCGACCATCGCTCGTGAATTAGAAGGAACCAGTATTTACACGGAAAGCTGTTTTCCTAGACAAATATTGGTACAATTTTTATTTAATAGCTGACAATACCGTGTTGGTAGCACACAAACTGGGTTTATGACTCTTCTGGCTTCCCTACAAGTTGAGATTCTTCCTTAGTCAGTATTTTGCCAAGGACTGCATCATAGTAAGGGCTGAAGACCATTTTGTTGTAGTTGACGAGACGAACGTACTTGGCAGCAACCTCTTCCAGCTCCCTTTGGATAGGGCCTAACCCTCCAGGGATAGCAGGTAGTGTTTTCTGGTGACTGGATGCAAGATAATTCTCCAGAAACTTTTGAATTCGAGAATCTGGAAAAAAATGGGGCTTGGTTTGTTTGCAAAAGAGAGGGTCCATTAGAAATGGTGTAATCTCACATAAAATGCAACACAGTCAAGTATCTGAGACATGAAATGGGAAGCCCAGCACGACACCCCCCCACCAGTTACACAGAGAACAGTCACAGGAGAGCAGAGCAGCAGTGCCAGACATACCTATGAGCCTGCAGATGGTGTTATCTGGATTGGCCACTGCTTGGATCTGCCCTTTAAGCACAGTCTCTCTCTCTGCTGAGAACGGTGTAAAGCCGTGCTGGGAAAGGCAGCTGTTCACTTCGGCACACACCTTCTCCCCGATGGTGGCCAGAGATTCCTTCAGGTTAAAGGAGCTGCAGAATGTGGAGTAGAGCATTACTGAACCAGATATTTACTTTTTTTCTCACCTTTTAAAAATAAACCTTTCAATTAGAGTTGCCTTATTTATCAAATGCAATGAGAAAAGCATAATGCAGACAAAAGCCAGAATTATAAAGAATAGTACCTTTTAGAGATGTATGAAAAATAAAGCTGACCTCCAAACCAAGGAAGTAGGAGAGCATTAAAGACTTCCAGCCTGAACAATCTATACACACAAGAGCTGACTTTCTGCCTGCAGACAGCTCTGACTAATGCCAAACCAGTCACCAACCCTTGTGTGTACAGCAATCACTCTAAATCTGCAGGCAGCTCACTGTGCCACACTCAGGTTCTTGTGGAAGCCTGGCCCAAACCATGGGCAGGGTTAGCTGCTGGCAGCCTCATGTGCCAGCCTGGCATCATAAAAGCACACTGGAAAAGCAGTGTGGACACTTCATAGAAGAGCAGAGCAAGAAAAGACAACTCCAAGTGAGCGAGTTGAACTAAAACTGTCGGCCTGGTTTCTTAGGAAGCCCTCAGCACCTTCTCTGCATATCCTGCAGTCCAGGAGGAGACAGAGAGGCTTACACTGGTTATTTACCAGGGTGAAAACAGAGCTACACCTGCCCCTGCGTGACCAGGACCATCCCATACTCACGGAAGATGCGTTCCCGTCAGCAGCACCTTGACAATGGTTTTGATTTTCTCCGCAAATCCAGGCACATCAACAAGTGCTGGGCCTGCTGCACTGAACGTGACCAGGAGCACTGTCCCAACCAGGAGGAGTTGCTCCAGCTCCAGCTGTATTTCCAGGAAGCGGGTCTGGTCCATGAGCACTGTCTGTAATGAGTGAGGAAGCCAGCACAGGACGGGGTCAGTTTGCTGGGCTGGGAAGGGACACTGGGATGTGACAGAAAAGGTACAACAATGACACAGGGAAGAGCAAGGTGCTCAGCAGGACAGCACCAGGAGTGAAATGAAAAGCATTAACCCCTCTTTTCCAACTAAGCAGGTTTCAGAACTGAAAGAGAAGTAGTACAAGAAGCTCCCAATGAAGAGATAAATGTTTCAGTATTGCACTTGTCGCAAGGCTACAAATCTGAACAGCTTCTGTTATGTCCCAGAAACAGAAGAGCGGAACAAGCACAGCACCCATTTTTTTTTTGTTAAATACCTACTTCTGGAAAAGGCCTGTTCACATGATCCCACTTTAGGAGCTTCAGATAGGCCTGATTTTGTACAGCAGAGAAGCACAAGGTGGAGGCTCCACCAGTAGCACCATCATTAGAGTGGGGAGGCAACATTTCATGTCCCAGCTTTGCAAGATCATCCGCTGCTTCTTGCAACCACTTTGTGACAAGGTCTAAAGAATCTGGAGGAGCAAGGGAAAAAAATCTTGTTAGGAAAATTCCCTCTCAAAGTTAGGTTTTTCCAGCAATAATTTCCAAACAAGCCCATTAGTTACTATGACTAATACCCACGATATCAACTGGTGACATGCATTTCATTTATTGCATCAAGCAGAACATCTAAAACAAAACCACACAGTTACAGGAAATCAGAGGTGAGATGATGCTGGGTAATCATGCCCTACACTGTATTGAGATTAAACTGGACTCCAGTGCACTAAGTGCAGAACTACAGTTCTGGCAGATTTTTTCTAACCACAGTTTTGGGGCACGAGCTGTCATTTACCATATGAGCTTATAAAAATATCTGGGGTTTTTTCATGTTCTACAAGCAAAGACACGCAGTTTACTAGGAGGTCAGAGGGGAAGAAAGAAAGGAACAAAGTCATACTTGGCTGTTTCTCAAGAAACTCCTGAAACTTCTTTCTTTCATATTCAGCAGACTGCTGCATTAATTTTGGCCTAATACTACTGACAGCGAAGTTTGCCATATCCATTTTCATTAGGTCTAATACAGAGAAAATGGCTCTAAACAAACAAACAGAAAAAGTTATTCAAGGCTGCAGATGTTTCAGAGGTGCTGTTTACAAGATTTATTACAGACTGTCTAAGGAAAGAGCAAAAACATGCATGGGAAACAGTAACAGGGTGCTTAACCATTTAAAAGCATGAGACAGAGAGAAAGCTTCAGCAAGCATGTACATGCATGCATGTGCCTCTTCCAAGTAGGAAAGAAATCTTGCTCTCCTGTAAAAAAGCCTCCATGGAATTAACTTCACTAGCTCCATAGGTTACATCTCCCAGGATGTGCAGTGCTGTATCTTGAGTATATAAAAAGCCATCTGGGTTTCCAACCTTGCATGCTCTCTCTGTTGGCAGCCTAGAAAGCCAACCTCAGTGGGAAGTGAATAATCAGACCCAAGGGAAAAAAAAAGAAAAGAAAAAACAAACACAAAACCCCCCACCAAATAACAACATCTTAATTTTAAAACAACCTAATTCCTGCTGGCCATAATTCTGCCAAGCCAATCCTGAACTCTTGGAAGCTTTGCAAGTTAGAAAACAGCAAGGTTAGTGAAACTTCTGACTATTGAGACCTTGAATTGAGAATATGGTGACAGCAGAAGCCCTGATGCTCCCAGATGTGGGTACAACACACTCCCTTTAGAACTGACAGGACTTTACACAGGGAGTGGGGTAAAGAGAGCTCAAACTGGAAAGAAAGGACAAACTGGTTGGAAACCAGTAGAACTTTTTCCCTATGCTCCTGTGGGCTTTTTTTCTCCTTTTGCTGTTGATGTTAATTTTTGATACAAACTGACTCTTCACCTGCTGTCTTAAGGCTTATATGCATTTGGCATTTAAGAAAATGTCCTTCACCGACATGCAGGAGCCAGACAAATACCCCAACTCACCAGAACAGAGATGGTCCTTGTTAATGACTCCTGGAGCACCTCTCCCCTTCACACCCACAGCTGTTTCCCTTTCCCTATCACTCTTTTCTTTCCTAGGAGCTGCAGGTTGCCCTGCTGGAACCCCCCCTCCCCCACATCTAAAACTATTTAAGGGACTCTGAACATGACTAATAAACACCATTTCAGTACCTGAACAGAGGAACTATTTCATGAATATCATTCAGTTTCTTAATTTCTTCATCTCGAGCTGGAGCACAGAGAGTCCCCATCATCCCAATAACAAATTTGACCAACTTAGAAATGTCAAGGGCCCCGTTTTCTGCCTCCTGTTTTATCAAATCCAGATCAAGAACTTCTGTAATCTGGTTTCTCAGTCTAGTATGACCAGGCAACAAGAAAGACAGGAGATTCTGCAATGGAAGGTTTTTAACAGTGCATTAGTTCTACATATCAAAGAGCACAAGGATCAAAACCACTTCTTACAGAGTCATAGAATCACAGAATGGTTTGGGTTGAAGGGACTGTAAAGATCATTTGGTTCCAAGCCCCCTGCCATGGGCAGGGACACCTCCCACTAAACCATGTTGCTCAATGCCCCATCCAACCTGGCCTTGGACACTTCAAGGGATGGGGCATATTCTTATTTAAATTAATTGCCCTTTAAAAGTAGAATTTCTCTTTTTTTTTTTTTTTAACCAACCACTCACCAACTTCAGATGTTTTACCTTGTTCTGTGTGATACTGAAGTTACTAAGTGGTAAATACTCTATGGCACAGATCATACTTCAGACTGTTGTGCTCAGTTTTATCAGCCCAGTGTTGGGGCATCTCACTGATTCCATAACTAATATTGCTGCCATAACATGAAGGAAGCTTGGAATTATGAAACTGGTATTACTTACCTTTTAATCATCTTACATGGATTTGCATTTGGTTTTAAATTCAAATTTCTCCTCTGGGGTTATACAACTTATATATGTTCACAGACAATGATACAGCAATGAAAAAGAACAAGAGAGTCTTTTATGAAAAGCCAAGCTTCGACCACTTTTGCTCATTCATATCAATGCACTACTCAAATTCAATAATTTACCTTGGTATCACATCATCTTACCTCTTTAATTTCTCCCAACAGTTTAATTGCATGATCATATGTTGGTGGGTCTTCCTTTAATTGAGCTTCCAGACAATCCCAGAAAGCTTTATGCACAATGTCTCTTACTTTCTTTTCCAAGCTGTGGGTAAACATGACCAGTTAGAAAGAATGATACTTGTCTCTGCACCACCTTCCAAAGATAACCTACAGCTCCTGAGGAAGAGCACGTAATAATATGAATATAACATAATAATGAATATATGATGATTAACAGAGAAGAGATCTGTCATTTTATGTTCCTTGGAAAAGCAAGAAAAACTGGATGCAGGATTTGGAATGGCCTATGTCCTAATAAAGGGTTACATACAAGCAAAGCCGGCTACAAATTAAAGTACTTGAAAGTTCATCCTATGCTACACCTAAACTAGACAACTAAAATAAATTAAAAAATAAATCACAAAAATTACAGTGTGTCTTCAAAAGACCAGTATTCATGTTCCTTTTAAAGGCCTCACTAAGTAAAGGCAATTCTACCAGGTAAAAGTCATTAGTAAACCTAACAGAAATGAAGTAACTTCCCTGACACAAAAGCTTCTGTGTTTCAGTGCATAAATATTGCAACTACTCTGAGATAAGGGCCCAGATCACTTTGTGTAAAAAAAAAATAGACGAATTCCACTGCTTCAGTACCAATTCCTAATTCAAAATGCTGCAGTCAGACTGGGCTATGTGGGAGACTGCAGCCTGACTCCTGGGACAAGAAACCACAGCACACTGGGATTTGTCCCACAGTTACTCCAAGAGGTTCACCTTTCATGCTCACACATATATCTGGGCAGCAGAACTGCACTTTTACCACCTTCTTCTTACATTGTTTCCTACTCCCTACCAAGCACTGCCAGACAAGATACCAGCCAGAGCCTTCACCTGATCGCCCAGAGCTGCTCTGCAGTTCTACAAATGCAAACTTTATCTACAGATATATATATAGATATATTTTAATAGATATATTAGGTAACAATCTTACCTGTGTTCTGGTAATTCAGCTGGTTTAATCTGGAAGTCTCCATTGACAACAATCTCGTGTGCTAATGCCATGTTGGTGACTCCCTTGGCTGTTTCCATGAGCTCTTCTATGGACACAGGCCGAGGAGGACTGGCTGCAACACGAATTACACTGTCAGACAGTTCTCTACAAAAGCCTGCAGAAAATAAAGTCTCCTAAGACTTTTGGACCCTTTCCACCTTACTGACAGTACAGAGGGTCAAATGGCAGTGTCACCTGAAGATGTTTTGCCTTCCCTTCCTTTCCCATCTAGTGGATGACACAGGTTTGGAGTATTACAGAAAGCAAAGGAGCGAGTCCCAGTTGATATTCAGGGCTCAGAACTTGCTTCCAAGTTCTATCAAGCTCTTTTAAGAATCAAACCCAAACAAAACCCCACACCCAAACCAGTACTTCTTTATGATGGATTAATAGCATCTTACCATCTTTCTCCATACTGTGGGAAGAAATAATTAAAATTACCAGCATTTTCACCACACTATTTCCACAAGTATTGTGTAGACATTGCCATTTCAATTTTACATTTTTTAGGGAAATTATTTCATCTTTAAAGCAGCCAGCAAACAAATCACAAAAGTGTTAAGCAGTAACACACCAGTAGCTAATTATCCTCATTACTTCCAGTGCAACTGGCACTCCTCCCAACTCTTCTTTTCCCCCAGAGGCCACCATCCAAGCAACAAAGGATGTCAAGACCTACTCCCAGCTCCAATGCCTAAGACCTCTTTCCCTGGCAGGCATTTGGGACTGCCCAGGATGGACCAGCAGGTTTAAACTGGGCCCTGGGGCACATAAGTGAGTAGCACCAATGTGCTAATTTATCATCAATATCTTGCTCTTCTGCTGCAGCCCTCCTAAATCCCTGTTTCCTTCTGCTTGGAGCTTAATGTTGCAGGGTGACTCCGGGAACACAGCAAGGATTGATATTCTGAGAAGCACTAGCAGACAGCAAAGTTCACAGCTGAATGAGAGTGCTCTTGTCCCCCTGCCAAATGACTTCACTCCAGCAGTGGGTGCACTAAAAGCCAAGACTCTCATTTGCCACAGAACACTCTTAAATCACATCATCTGCTCCCTTAAACAAGGGAAGGGCTTGAAACCAACCATTTCTTTGTGGTACAGTGCAGTGCAAGACTGTGCTATGCTTTTTACTTTCCCGTGTTCAGAGCCTCTCTCCACACATACATCCCGTCTTTGTCAGGCAACCAGCAGGGCATAAGAACATAAACTCCCTCAGAACATCTCTTCTGTGTAACATGACACTAAACACAACACTAAACCTCAAGTAATAATGAACTCCATTAAAAAAACCAAAAAAAATACAACAAACAAAATGTTACAGGCTGAGACACTCTCTACAGAAATTTAGAACTAGTTATCTGAGCACTTCTGCCTCTTTGAATTGAACCCCTGGAGCCAGAAAAACCTCCCCTTGGTTTCATCTATAGATTTGCCAGGAATATTTGGTAGCCATGTTGCATCCAGCTCCTCATGTTAAAAGCAGAATGACAAGGAAAAATACGCCTTAGGAATAAGCTTAAAATATGCAGTCCTGCTTGACACTGGAAGTAGCATTAGGATAAAACATACAACTTTCCATCTATACTGTGAGGGGGATGACAGGACATTCCATTGTTGATAACAGCCTTCCTTGCCCTGCAGTGGAAACAGAGGCTGCAACAATCCAGAAGGTTCAGCTGATAAGGCAAACAGCAGCAGCAGTAGCTGGAACACCCCAGGATGGTGCTTTACCCCTTCCATGAGCACAGACACACCAGGGTATTTAAGATATATGGGGACCAGAGCAACATGGTCACTGTGTATAATTAAGTACTAAAAAAAATGGGGAAAAGGGTGTTACAAACAGTTTCAGAGCAAACCATCAGGAGTCACACTACATTTAACTGCAAGACAGTCAAACTTGCACAGAATGGTATGAAACATTAGGATTGCCTTCACCAAAACCTACAGATTTTTTTTTTTTAATTATATTTCATATAAAGCAGTTTTGCTTACACTTGGGTGTGTCATCTCTGTGTGACCCTGGAGCGCTCTGCCGGATCCTTTTTCGGACAGACTGATCCGGGTTATCCGAGTTCTCCTCTTGACCATCCTCCAAACCACTCAGCCTTTCTTCACTTGAGTGTAGCTTGTCAGGATTCTGAGACATTTTCAGTTGGTTCCTTACAGAAAAAGAAAAAATATGGAAAAGGGAATGAATAAGCATTTTATGACATGGCTGGGTGGGAAAACATCACCAGGAGTTCTCCTGATTGAGAAAAAAATTAAGAATGAAAGAATTCTTATGAGGAATTATATGATGTCATCCCTATAATGGTAGGAGACCTGGACTCAGTGACTCACTTCCCATGTCCCACCAAATGGGATGCTTTCAACACAGCTACCATTTATTAATCTGCATTCCGACTAAGTTCTCAAAAATCTGAAACTGCTCCCTTTTGCCATAATGATACAGACGAGAGAGAAAAAGATATTTAGTTCTCTTTCTTAGCATTGCTTCTGAGAGAGCAGTGAAAAAGACCTTCAGAACAGTATCACAGAAATGTTTTACAAAAAGATTATGTCAAATGAGATGTTTCCTCACTACACAGCAACAAGCCTTCCTCAGCATAACATACTCCTGAACTATGATCTACCCCAACTGCTCAGAACTTAAAAGCTTTTGCTCTGAGCCATCCAAAAGCATTAAGGAGCAGGAAAAGGACTAGAGAGAAATCAATATAAAATTCTACTCCCATATTTTCATTCCATGCAAGAGTCATGATTTATGCATAAAATTTCAGGGGTTTTTAATAAAGACAGTAAAGAGCAGTTATAGTATTTAAAATATTAGTTTATTACATTAATTTTTTATTATATTACCAAAATATTTATATTACATCACAGACACAGACACATACAGTGTAGCCAAAGTTATAATGAAAAAATTACCATAAGAAAAGCAAGCCTCACCATTCATTATCTTCACTTATTTCACACTCAGATTTCCCTCTGAAGAATGTAATTTGTACATCCACCATGAAAACTGTCATGCAGGAAGCTGCTGTTAAGATTTCAGTTTTACAGAGATCTGTTAGAGAGCATATGATGTCTCTAACTCAATTAAATAGCCTGGATGTTCTGTGAAGTGGGAGTCAGAAGGATTCTGCCTTTCAAAATAAAAGAAAGCTTCTGGAAAAACTTCCTCTTTCCTCTGGTATCTCACCATCCCCACTTTCAAAATTTGAAAGAAACAAGCTCTGAGCAAGAGATTCACCCTCCAGAGGCACCTCACAGCTACTAGGAGAAAATACTTGCAGCACCAAAGAGGATGCAGCAGAAGCAAGCAACAGAGCAAAAATATAAAATGCACACTGAGACTTTTTTATTTTCATACAACAGCTGTAATAACCAACCCTGCTCCATCAGTGCTTAAATTGACTGCACCAGAGGGATTCTACAGGACAGCTGGAAAGCTCAGGGCATGTAAGAAACAGTTTTGTTCCACAGCAATGACTCAGGATCATCATCTTGCTTGATGCATGAGAGACAACAGCATGCAACACTTGCCCACAGCACTGTGTGATTTCTATTTTAGAAAAGGAAACAGCACAAAAAACATGGGATAAATTACATGGGAAAACCAAGGCATCAGTACAGATATTGTTAGAATCATACACTGGCCTACAGCTGGAACAGAGTCACTGATGTCCCTGCTCCAAATGCTTCACTATGTCCCTCTTCACACACAAAAAGGCTGGGACATGGAAGGGGTGATCTGTGCACAGCTGCAGTCACATTGCCACCCTCTGAACCAAGGCAGAGAGAGCCTCCAGCTGGGTGTAACTGCAGGCATCCCACCCAGCAAGGAACTGGGAAACCAGTGGGAAACCAGTAACACACTCCAGGAGAAGTGGATCTCCCATCTGGGGGACAGAAGGTCTGTTACTGCAAACACTCCACCAGCAAGAGGATGAGGAGCTCTGTTAATAAAGGAGTTGTTCATAAAGAAGATCATAGCAACAAGTTGCAATATAAAATAAAAACCAGGACTGGTTAAACAAAGGAGGGAGGCCTGTTGTTGAATTTGGCTGGGATAAAAGCATTATCATAAAGGCTTCCACATTCATTCCACCAGACTAGACAGCCACTCTTCCTATCCGGTCTCATCCACAAAGCATCCTCCTGAAGTCAAAATCTGAACCACAAAGATGACTCAACCAAAACACACTTAAGTCTTTAAAGCACATAACACTTCCTAGTGCCTCTCAATCTCTCACTGCACTTTAGGCTCACTATGCTGAGAAAAGCAGGGAAATATAATATACCTTACTTACAGAGAGGAAATTGAGGTGTGAGTTAAGTTGCCTGAGGACTCACAGAAGATAAATGACAGGGATAAGATGACAATCAGTCTCATGACTGCTACCCCCAGCTTTGCCCACCAGGCCATCATTCCTACCATGCAGACTACATCCCATAAAATGGCAGCTCAAGAGCTACAGCCTCAAACCCAAAAGTTTCATTTAATTACCATTTGTTTAAAAAAAGTCCTATTTCAGCTGTGGAAGGCAGGTACAAGAACTCCTGGGCCATTCTACCAAGTGACTGTTCAGCAGATGAATTAAAAAGGCACACTTGTTGGTTTAGTTGTTTAGTTTGCAATAGTCTACTCTTTTCTGCTGGATTACTGCTATTATTTGCCAGAACACATCTAGAACATATCCTCTTTCCACTGGGTAAATAAGCTCGACAATACCTCTTCCAGAAGCACAATCATCATCTTTCCTTTCACAGAAACAATTCTGCCTCTTAATGGAGCAAAGCCTACTTCTTGGCACTTTCATTTATTTTTAATAAAAACAGAAACGCAGGAGAAAACCCCAACAGATTAAAATTTAAACAAAACATTTTTCCACCGGCTCTTTTCGCTAAAGGTCCTCAAACCATCAGATGCACACCAGCACTACATAAATTTCACTCTGTTTCCATGGAGCACACCTTGACCAAGGCTGAAGCAGTTCCTTCTCACCACCTGCTCTGCAGGAGACAGCACTTGACAGCTGCCCTGACCCCGAGGGCTGCCCTGCCTCAGGCTTCATTCCAGCGCTGAGCTCGCTCTCTGTTCACCTGCCACATCGCAGCCTGCTTTCCCTTGCATCCCAGGAAAAAGGCGAGCTGCAGCCCCGTCCGCCTTCCAAATGACAAGGGATGCTTGTGAAATTCCGCAGTTTTCCCCTCCGCAGCCCGTTCCGCGCGAGGCCCTCCCCGGTCCCTCCCAGCGCCATTCCCGAGGGAGCACACGGGGTGCCGTCCCCATCCCACCCCGCCCGCCGGCAGCAGCGGCTGCAGCCCCGGCCCGGGCACCGCTCTTCCCGGCGCCGCTGCCGAGGCTCATCAATGAGCCACGGGGGAAAACGAGCCCGGAGCGGGCTGTGGGATGCGCAGGGAGCACGGGGATGCAGTGCCGAGCTCACCCCGCGGCCCCGGCGCAGCCCTACCCGGCCGGGCCCGGAGCCGCCGCGGCGCCCCCTCGGCGGTGCCGGGCCCGGGCCCTGCCAGCCGCCCCCCGCCCTCCCACCGCCCCCGGACGCCCGGGGCCGCCCCCCGGGCCGGGCCGCCCCCTCTTACCGCCGCTCGGCGCAGGGGCCGCGGCCGCCGGCGCTGACGGGCCCGGCTCCCTCCCGGCGGCGGCCGCGGAGCGGGGCTGGGCCGGCGCCGCAGCCCCAGCGCAGGGCGGGCCGCGGCGGCTCCGGGGCGGGGCGAGGGGCCCCAGCGCCGGGAACGGGGGGTTTTCCCTCCAGGAAGGGGTGAGGAGCAGCTCTGCTCCGCGCTGATGGAGCACCGACAGCCCTCAGGGCTCCCGGCGGCTTTGGGGCGAGCGAGGTCCCGACCCCAAACAGAGCAAGGGCTGCGCCCCAATAACCTGCGCCGGGGCTCTACAGAATCACAGAATGAACGAGGTTGGAAAAGACCTCTGAGATCATCGAGTCAAACCTTTGACTTAACACCACCTTGTCTACTAGACCATGGCACTAAGTGGCACATCCAGTCTCTTAAATAGCTCCAGGGACGGTGACTCCACCACCTCCCTGGGCAGCCCATTCCAGTGCCCAGTCAGTCTCTCGGTAAAGAACTTCTTCCTAATGTCTAATCTAAACCTCCCCTGGCACAGCTTAAGACCGTGCCCTCTTGTCCTACTGCTGGTTGCCTGGAAGAAGAGACTGACGCCCACCTGGCTACACCCTCCTGTCAGGGAGTTGTAGAGAGTGATGAGGTCTCCCCTGAGCCTCCTCCTCTCCAGGTTAAACAACCCCAGCTCCCTCAGCTGCTCCTCATAGGACTTGTGCTCTAACATAGAGGGATAGAGAGATGTACAACTGCTCCAACCACACTGTACCGATTCACATTAAACCCACCCAGCAAGCAGGGAAAGCAGCCATGGCTTGTCCTTGCTGTCCTTAAGACATCTCATCCAGCTCACAGCAGTTCCTCCCAAGAGAAATCTTAGGGACTTTCGGAGGAGCTGTACCACCCCAAGCAGAGGAAAGGCCATGCTGCCCCTGCCTTTTGCCCACTGGTGAACATTTGAGCCCCATTCCTCCCTGGAGGCTGCTTTTCCTTACCCTGAAAGCAAACTTGGCAGCAGAGCCAGCTCAGTAACTCACAGGGCAGGATCTGTAATTCAGAACTCTCACTGCAGCAGGCAATGCCCACAGGCAGGAACTCATTTTCAAGATAGAAATCTCATCCTCTTAACCATGATGTTACATTAGGCAGGAGTTAAAGGGAATACACTTCTGCTGAAGGGGGAACCAATGCAGCACCATAAGTAACTTATTTTAACATATTTTTCCTAAGAACAAGGAACTGCCTTTCCACCCCCACATTTTAAAGTGTAAGTTAAGCCAACTGTTCTGAGGAAGTACATTTATAATAGAAAGCTTTCAGTTAAGACTAAGAACTACAAAATATAACTACTAAAAAGGGGTTATACTCCTCCCCACTACTAGAACTGGATATTTTTTAGAAGTCCTTTCTAACCGACTAGAATAAGGTTTTCACACCTTTGTCATCCATCCCCCATCAGGACACAGTAACACACTGTCCTATTGCACACCAAGCCCTCAACTCTGTTCACAGAAAGCACTTGGGCCACTGGCACCACACACCACTAATGACTGAAGAGTAACTTAGGGAGACATTACAGTATCTCACATGGGGCCGTGTTTTTAAAAAATCAGATCACGATGTGCTTGTAACAGTTATTTCTACTTTGTTGTCATAATTAAACTAGCTTTTGTTCCCAAATAGAAGAGAACAGAAATGGAACAAAATTTGTTATTTCTTTCAACAGCAGCTGTAACGAAGTTTGGCTGATATCATCCCAAAGATAACCCCACAAGAGCCAAAATTAGATCTCTAATCATGCTCTATATCTGCCTGCAGTTGCCTGTGTTGCAAAGCTTGGGATTTCCACCGTAGACCAGACACAGATAAACTATACAGCCACAAGACAAGCCAAAGGCCTTTCCTTCGCTCCAGCTCTTTTCTAATTACAGCTGGTGCCATCAATAAGAGTTACAGTCAGAGCAAAACACTGCAGGGATGAAGATAACCAGTCATAAACAGTACATCCTGTGGCAACCAAAGCCAGACTGATTTAAAAATCCAGAATATCTTTACCATCTCAGGACAGTCAATTCCTCAATATGGTGCCATTTTAGCTTAAAACAGCACAGTAATTTGTCATACACATAGACAGTATCATTAGCTGGCAAGCTTGAAGGAAAGCTGTGGAACATCAAGCAGGAGATGTTCTTCAGCTCTGTCCATTACACAGCAAGGCAAAGATCAATGCTACGTGTCAGTCACATAATGCAAGGCAAATTAGAAAAAAAATGTTCAGCATAAGATTCAGTGCTGAGGTAAAAGGTGAGAGAGACATCTCATTCATGGTGTCTTCCATCTCAAGAATTTTGATATTTGAAGAGAGGGAGTCAATAGACTTGGCTTTAGGTGAGGAAAAGGAAGGATTATTTTGATCCGATAGCAATTAAGAATGAGAAAAGCTAAACTATAAATAAAGGCTACTGTTGTACTGTTGGCTTTGGTAATAACTGAATACATTCCATCCATTTCCACAAAATAACTTTATTAGGCACAATACATGAATACAAAAATTTACAAATATATTAGTGTTTTCAATGCTGGAGTATACAAAGTAATCTCTATTTAAAATCTCACACACACATATTAGTAACTCTGTCTCCAAAATACTGCATAAAAATACTTGGATTACTACTATGAAACTGGTCTAGCAGTCTCTTTCTCTCTTTGTCAGAGAGCTTTGTGTCTTCATCGATAGCTTTCAACAGAGACAACAGCTCATCTCTTGTGGTCTTCTCTGTATTGGAGCGATACTCTCTTTCATCAAGTTTTTGGCAAAAGGTATAGCCTAAAAGGAAACGAGACATTCAGAGCTAACACCACACTCAGCCACCCTAGGGATTCCACAGACCCATCCTCCTTTAGAGTCAAATTAGTCATCGTTACAGCAAGTCTTTTTTCATCACCTATTTCTCATTTTGGGTGCATGACGAGATTAAAAAGCTCAGTTTGAACTGTTACCTGTTATCTTACTGGGATCCTGGCCTTTCTGCAAAGCCAGCAGTTTATCGCTGACCATCTTATGCAGAGTCCCTGGGATCTTGAAGAGAAAGAGATGACAATGCATCTTAGAAAAGGCAGTTCTTCATAGGCATACAAGATTAGCCAAAACCTGGTCATTTTCTAGCTCTTACCTTTAACACATCTCTTTGGTTGTCCACAAGGAACAAGATCAGGAGGTCAGTTTTCCCTCTGGATAAGTTTTTATTGTTGATAATAGCTTTAGAGAATGTTCTTTTCACAACCATCCTGTTGTCACTCTAAAGAACAAGGACAAAAGAAGAGAGTTAGTCTCCCCCGTTGTTCTTCCAGAGTCACTGCTCTTCCTGTAGTCACCTATTTAAGCTACAAACATGTTTTCTTACCAGTGTCTGTGACCTCTAGATTTCAGTAAGTGTAAAGCATCTATTAAGTACACACTTACCTCCTTCTGTAGTTTGAGCTCAGAATTGTGTGCTGCAACAGCCATGAAGTACAACAGTCTCCTGAACTCCTCCCTGACTTGGCTGTCTAGAAGTTTCAAATACAGCTGAACAGCTTCTAAAGATTGCTCCATCTTCCCATTCACTGGGGAGAGATAAGGGTATCTATTGCCATATTTATTTACATAAATGTTGCAATAAAACACCTAAATATCCACTGAAGAGACGTTCATCTCTCTACACAGAACTGCTCAAACTAAGCAATTAATTCTCACAAAAACTTCTCACAGGTTAATGAGAGCTGCTTGCAGACAGTCTGAGAACATCCCACATACAGGCTTTCAGGCTGATATTTAAGTAAGCTCACTTGCAATTAAGTTCAATTACAGTTCAGCCATCTTGAATGGGATGTGAAATATTGCAAAGAGAAAATGGTTCTGTTAAAGAAATGAGTGAACTCTTGTTGAGGAAATAAAGATCTCCCAAAAAATGAGAAATATGTTCTAAATACACGGGCTAGTGTGAGGAATTAACTGCAAACCACTTTGTAGAGCTTGGCTAAGTTTTAATTTGCCTTACTATGCAGAATAGCCATTTTAGAGATGTGAATTATTTAAATGAAGTAGGTTGTACTAATATCATCCCTTTCTCATGTAGGCAGGAGGAATAGGATATAAATGCAAACTATTCCCACCAACAGGACAAACTATTCCCATGGAACAAGAAATAGGATGGAAAATATGGAGAACAGGGATAAGATGTTAATTGAGGACTAAAACATCAAAAGCTTTCTAAAATGTTGTCTAAGCAAAATTTAAGAAACATTTCTGTGTAAAAAAAAAAAAAGAAAAGTTGTGAATGGGGTACAAAGCATCTATACAGCTTTCAGTTTAGCTCTCATAGCATAAATATTTAATATTATTGTTTCATTTCCCATGGATATTTAACTTCTATGTATACCAATTGCTACCAAATTATAGTGCACCATTTTCACAGCCATTCTACACAGACCCAATCAAAGATTACAGAACTGCATAAAAGTCAGGACCAAAATCAAGCACAGTCTTTATGGCTAGAAGTGAAAAGGAAAAAAAAATACTTGCAGAAGTCAATATTTAATCTTGGCTGCTGAGGTAAACACTCAGTTTCTCAATACATATCTCACATAAGCATTGGAACACGGCTTTATTTTACTTACCTAAAAGCTCTGCAATTCCTAAATGGATTTCGGGTGCATGGCTTAACAGCGGCTCCTTTTTTTGGCTGTAGTATCTACCAATATTGTCAAACAGCAGCAGTTTCCATGTATCTGCCTGATCTGGCTGATCAGGCAAGTTCCTGCTAATATCCACCACCATATGATCCGGAAGGTATTCCAAGCAATCTATTGCTGCCGAGAGCCATTCGTCTGTCCTGGAAGACAGAGTGATTTAGGTTTGTAGCATTGCCTACAGGTGCCTTTCAGAGCTGGTTGCTTTGCTTTCCACAGAAAGCAGGTAGACTGGTTTCTCAATCCCAGTGAAAACTGCATGTGTAGGTACTTAAATACATTAGAAATTCTCACACACAGAGGACACTTTACCTGACACACTCAAGTGGATCATA